GAGCTCTCTGTAATAAGACTGGAGCCATCTTCCCTCTGTAAGAACTCCACTCAGGGGTTCTCTAGGGTGAGATCAGAGGTGGGGGAAATAGGGAAAGACTGGGGGAGACCAACAAGCTGCCTCCTGACTCAGCAAGGGCAGGGCCCCAAGGCTTCCTGTGTCCATTCCTCTCCTCCCTGGGTCAGAACCCGAGAGAAAGCAAGGAGAGACAGAAGGCCAAGGACAGCAGGGTTGGGAGTTGGCAGTCCAGAGGTGGTGGGGCTGGAACATGGTTGGGAGAGGGGGGCCGGAAGTCGCCCTGGGCCCTGGGCCTGCCACAAGATGGAGGCCAAAGGCAGGAAATGGAAGCCAGGGGGAAAAGGGGAGCAGCAGGGCCCAGGAAAAGGGCTGTCTGGACCTGGGGGCCAGGTACTCAAGCCCCAGCACTGTTCTCACTCCCCATGGCCCCCAGGACCCAAGTCCCACCCCCGCAACAACCCCCATCAGCCCATCCACCAGGCCCAGGAAGGCAGGCCCACCCCAGAGAGCCACGTTTAAACTGAGACAAACATGCCTCTCCCCACCCCCACCCTAGGCCTTCCCTCGGCCTTTTTCCCCTGTCCAGGACTTGATTTTGAAAAAGCACCCCCAGAAAGCAAAATTCAAGGGCCAAAATCTCTTCCACAAATCAAAATAATATGCTCTAAGACCCAAAAGTTATCATCTCACCTCCCGTCCCACCCTTTACCACCCCCCTTCCGACACACCCCCCAAAACTCTTACAATCAAAAAGATCTAAGATGGTGGGTGTAAGCAGTCTTTTTAGGCCCCGGGAAATGTCAGACCCCCTCAAGACCCCAAGCTGTCCTAGACCAAATCCTTCTAAGGTGTCCTGCTCCTCACTCCACCCTCCGTAGCCCCCAAACTGAACAGCTGCCCCCAGCACCCATTCTCGGCAGAGCCTTTGTGGGGGTGAAACAAATTAAACACTATAGTAATGGCTGGGGATGTTGGGGAGTCCTCTGGACACAGCCTTTGGTTTCCTTCTGGGGGGCTGCAATTTAGGGGCATAAGAGAAAGTCTCTCCAATCATCCCCCAGTTTCAAGCCTGACAAAGCCCAACCCCACCCCAGCACGCACCTCCAAACCTCCCCCCAACCGCCACGTCTCTCCTGAAAACAGGGGACACTTTCCTCCCCACTTACCTCAGCTACTCTCCCCTGAGATCCTGGTCCCCTATTTTGAAGGGAGCAAAATTTGGGGTGCATCCCTCACATTTGGGGTGCAGGAGAAAGGAGCCGCCCCAGTCGCATCGCTGGCCTCCTTCCTCTCGGCTGGCTCAGGGAGTGGGGAGTGCCCTAGGGAGGGGGACCCCCACAAGAGATCTCAGGAGGGGGTTCCTCCATTCCCAGTCAGAATTGGGGACACCCCCCCAAACCCGTCCCAGCCCATCCGTCTCCAACTCGGCGGGAGAGGCAGCTGCAGTGCCCCAGTCAGATTCCCCCAACACTACATTCCTCACCCCATCTAGAGGGGTCCCAGGGGCCCCAAAAAATCCCCAAAAAATCTAGGATGTTGGCAGGACTGTCCTGGACTAGATCCCCAAATTTGGGGTTCTCAGATGCCCCCGTTTTTTCAGGAAAATTCCGTCTTTCACCTGCCTCCCGCCAGCCTTGCTCTGTCCCGATGCCAATTTTGGAAGTCACTCCCTCCTTCCTCCTCCCCGTCTCTCTAGGCCCCCCCGCTCGGGGGCTAGGGTCCAGGAAACCTGGCTTACAGACCGGGGGGGCACTCCTCGAAGGGCTAGGGGCCAGGAGGTCAAGCTCATAGCCCCAGTCTTAGGGAAGCAGGAAAGCCCGATCCTCCCCTCCCCTCCCCCCTGGCTGGTCTCCGTGGTGGTTTAGGAAAGCCTGGAGGATTGGAATCTGCCATTGCTGTTGCACAGGCAGTTTTTTTCCTTGGGTTGTGGGGGTGGGCGGTGGGAGGGAGAGAGGGGAGGAGAGCCGAAGAGAGCAGGGACCCAGGCGTGCAGGGCTGGCCTGGCTTACCCCCTAGTCCCTGCTGCCGTGGGGAACCCCTCCCCCACCCACCTCACCCACACTCCTAGTCCTCTGTCTGCTTTCTGTTTGGGGCTCTCATTCTAGAAAATCAGGGTACAAGAATCACCTCCTTGTACCACCACCACTTCTCCTTTGCCACAGTTCCAACAGCACTGCCCTTGTCAGGGGTGTCCACTTTACCACAAGACACCCCAGTTTCCCCAACCTTCCCCCAAACTGAGGCATGCTCCCTTAAGAAAATGGGGTTCAGAGTCTGAAACCACCTTTTTCCCTTCAAATCTGCCCAGGCCACGTAGAAATAAAAGGAGATACACTCCCTTTCCAAATTTCTCCCTTCAAATCCTGGACATATTTGGGGGTTCACCAAAGGAAGAAATTTCTAGAATCTGGGGTGATAGGGAGCTATAAGCAAAGGACATCCTAAACCAGCATCGTGCTCCAAATTAAGTGAGCCCCTAAATCAATCTCACCTTATGATCCATCCCTCAGCTTCTCTCAATGAACCCAAAAAGTGGCAAACACCCCCAAATAAAGATACCCCAAAACCCTAGTCCCGTACCCTGAGCCCTCACCTTGTTTCTCCCCCGGAAAAAGTTTCTTGGCTATCTATGTATACACAGGCATATCTTGCCCTCAAAATAAGTTTCCACAATATCCAAATATAAAGCTTTGCTCCCCGTCAAGGACCCACAATCACAGAAGGCCCTCCAACTCGCTCCCTGGTTCCTATTATGTTCCACCTCAAGCTAAGAAAAACAACTCCTAACTGAATTTCATGTCCCCTCAAATCTAATCTGAGCTTAGAAACTTATAGGGCACCCCACAACCAGCATGACTACTTGGATTCAGTTTGTCCATATACACCAGTGACTATGAGTCCCCAAAACAAGCCCTCATCCATCGCCCAAAGAACACTAGTAGGTTCTCCTGATATTCCGAGATGACACTCTCCAAATTGTGGGTGTCAGAAACCACATAACTAAAGCAGCTTCACAATCAGCTCCTTGCCTCAAACTTACATTGGCTTTCAAACCCCAGTGCTGTCCGCAGGGCCCAGAACAACCAAACTAACTCAACATCCCATAATAAACATGCACCCTAATTGACCAGATACACAAAATCAACTCTATCCTGATATCAAAGGGAGCCCCTAGTCTAACTCCCACCTCCAAACTGGGCAGAGACCAAAGTAACCTTCACATTCAAAAGCCATCTCACCACCCCCATTCCCAGTTTCTCAGCAGTCCTTTCAGGCACCCAAATAAAGACACCCTCAAATCTAAAGGGGAGGGCCCCAGGCCTGGATACTGCAGCTCCATGGATACTGGTCAGTCATTCCTGGGCAATGGTAGACTCTTCTGAGCCCAAACGCAAACTCAGCTCCAGCCCGCTTCTGCAAATGAATCTCGCCCCACCCCCAAACATCTCCCAAAACAAAACAAGAGGTGTGGCCGTGCCTGTCTCCTGGATCGGGCACTTATAATTTGAGTTATCAGACCCCTTCTGCCCTCTCTCCCTTCTTTTACCCTGGAGATCCTCCCTGTTTTGTCTTCTCTCTGCTCACCCCACCCAACTTTCATAATCTCTAAATACAGATACTAGTGTCTAGCTTAATAAGAAAAGAAAACCATGTGCTCGCAAGGCTGAGACCCCACTCCTTGTCTCACCCATTTCCCTTGCTCCCAAAGCCCGCGGATTTCTCACCCCAGGTAGAAACCCCAGCCTCGGAGGAAAGTCCCCTCTGTCGCCTAATTCTCCTTCCCTCCGCCCAACCCTAGTCCCCTCCTAGAAGACAGAGGGACAAAATAAAACCAGCGCAAAGGGAAGGAGGATGAAGGTTTCAGCCGCCCAGACCGAATCGATCCTGCGCCCCCGTCTGAGTGGACCCCCAGCCGGGTGGAGACCGCGAGGCGAGGCTAGTGCTCGTCCGCCCCCTCGTGGAAGGAGCTAAACATTGCCGAGCTTTGCCTACTTGCCGCGCTGGACCCCGGCGTCCCGCCAGCCTCCAAAGCGTAGCCGACGGGCGGGTGCCCGAGGCCCTAGTGAGCTGGGATTGGGGGAGGGTGAGCGGACTCTGGGGGGGAGTCTGTCTCTCTGGATCCCTAAAAGGATTCAGAAGAGGGTCGGGAGCGAGAGTCCGGACGCCTAGGTCTCCTGAGCGTCTCTCGGTCCCTACCCGGGGCTTTCCCCACCTCCTCGAGGGGAAGCAGCTGGCGGAGCCGTCCGGTCGCAGGACAATGGAAGGAAACGAACTAGAAATCATATCCGCCCCTCCCTACCCTACCGGTCAGAGCCCCCCTTTCTGTAGGCCCTGCTAGAGGAGCCTGTCATTCACATCACACCCTTGCGCTGTCTGAGACCCCACCGGGGCCCACTATTGCCTTCCCAAACCTGATGCTTCTTTGGGCTCTCTTTCAGCTCCCTTAATACCGTATATTGGAAAAGGGAGTTTTGCTGTATTCACTCTCCTGTAACATGCTCCTGGAATCTTCCAAAAGCTAACACATTTTCGGTGTCCCAGGCTCCCCAGACGACCGAGGTCACCCATATTTCCAATCTTGATATCCCCAACCTCCTCCCCAATGCCAATGTCCCACCTGCGGCTCCACTTCCAGTAGTCTAAGACCCCTTAGGTTACGACCACCCAGCGTTTCTGAGGTCCCGCCCTGAAGCCGCAGACCCCGCCCCGGGCTCGCCATCTGGAGAGCTAGGGAGGAAGGAAGGATACAGACCCAGGCGTTCACCCCACCTCCACCCCCGCCCCCGACATCCCGGCCTGATAAAGGAGCCGAGGCCAAGAGGGGAGAGTGACCCCGCCCCCCCTTGAGAAGAGAAGCCGCAGCCCCTGCAGGACGGGGGTAAGAACGAGAGACCGAGGGGCCAGATTCCTGGGTCTCCGAAGAGGATTGGGGCTTGTTGATGGTAGGAAAACTGAGGCCCAGAAAGTGGGCTAAACTAGGGTCGGGAGAGATAGTAGTAGAATTCGTGGTTCCGAGCTTCCATTGGGATTTGGAGGGGTGTGGACCGCATGTCGTCTGGGGTCTCTGGCCAGGGTCGGACACCTGAGACTCAGGCGCACAGCAGAGGGGTGTGGGGTGTTGGAAGGGCACTAGGAGTCGGATTAAGGGCGCTGCGGGCCAGATTCCTCACGCTCGCCATCGACGCCGCGGTGTGGGAACCTTCAACTCTCTCCGAGCGCTGTGGAATCTACAGAAGGAAAACGAGCAATGGTGTGGTTGAGCGCAGAATCAGATGAATTAAGTGAGGCTGCGTAAGTCGAGGCCGGGGGCTTGGCTCTAGCTGCACCCAAGAGGAAGAAGCAAACTGTGGATGGGAAGACGTCTGAGGGCTGCCTGGATCCTGAGCCCTTTCTTTGGCACCCTCAGGCCCGCGTCGCTATGGGTTCCACCACTACTCCGGAGGGAGCGCTGGGCTACGTCCGCGAGTTCACTCGCCACTCCTCCGACGTGCTCGGCAACCTGAATGAGCTGCGCCTGCGCGGGATCCTCACCGACGTCACGCTGTTGGTTGGCGGGCAGCCCCTTCGAGCTCACAAGGCAGTTCTTATCGCCTGCAGGTTCGAGGGGTGGCTCACAGGTTGGGGACCAAATGAAAGAGGGGCGGGGCCACAAGATCTTTCGGCAGGAATCCGAAGCCCAGTCTTCCAGAAGTGGGAGGCGGAGCGTCCCGGAATTGGGGACAGGACGATAGAGGAGGCGGGGCTTTTTACACGGGTCGTGGCTTTGTACCGTGGTGCGTGTCTCCTTGGGTTTCCCCAATCCCTAACATGAATTGTCTGCCTTCTTTCCAGTGGCTTCTTCTACTCAATTTTCCGAGGTCGTGCAGGAGTGGGGGTAGACGTGCTCTCTTTGCCCGGGGGCCCCGAAGCTGGAGGCTTCGCTCCTCTTCTGGACTTCATGTACACTTCGCGCCTACGCCTCTCACCAGCCACTGCACCAGCTGTCCTTGCGGCCGCCACCTACTTGCAGATGGAACACGTGGTCCAGACATGCCACCGCTTCATCCAGGCCAGGTGAGGGAGCCCCAGCTTTGTGTTTTCCGTGGGTGTGGCGGCACCCCACGCAGAGGTCAAGATTAGGAAATAGCACTAATGTCCACACTTTTCCCAGCTATGAACCTCTGGGCATCTCCCTGCGGCCCCTGGAGGCAGAACCTCCTACGCCCCCAACGGCCCCTCCACCAGGCAGCCCCAGGTGCTCTGAAGGGCACCCAGACCCACCTACTGAGTCTCGCAGCTGCAGTCAAGTCCCTCCCAGTCCAGGCAGCCCAGACCCCAAGGCCTGCAACTGGAAGAAGTACAAGTTCATCGTGCTAAACTCTCAGGCCTCCAAAGCAGGGAGTCTGTCAGGGGAGAGGAGTTCTGGTCAACTATGCCGCCAAGCTGGGCTCTCCAGTGGAGATGAGGCTTCCAGCAGCAGCAGTGGCAGTGAAGAAGGACCCATTCCCGGTCCCCAAAGCAGGTACAGAAACTGGAACCCCAAGAATTTGTAGAGGCCTGGGTGGGTCAGGAGTAGGGAGTGAGGGGGAGGATTTCAGAGATACTAGCCTACCTTAGGAGCCAGAGGCCCAGCTGACAGTGCGGTGGGACTTTGGCAGCACAACTGGATATAGCTCATTGGTCAATACTAGCTCACATCTGTAAGGTGGGCCTTTGGCTCCAAGTTCTCCAGGGGAGAACCCCTTCTATATAATCTCTCCTTACCTTTTCCTCTGGGCCTTGCCATCTGCTAGGCTCTCTCCCACTGCTGCCACTGCACAGTTCAAATGTGGAGCTCCAGTCAGTAACCCCCCTCTCCTCACACCCCTGGCTCAAGAGACCACAGGATCTCCCTCTGGGGGAGTTCGTCCGCTACCAGGTAAGAGCTCCTCCTCTGTCTCCTTGGATTTTCTCCTGTGGCTGCTCAAGGCCCATTTGGGCCAAAGACCTCAGGAAAAGCCTATTCCAATTACTGCATATTAGAATCACTTAGGGAGATTTTTAAAAATCTCATTGCTCAGGTCACACCCCATAGGTCAGAATTTCTGGAAGTAGAAGCCAGGCATCAGTGTTTTTGAAAGCTTCCTGATGAGCAGCAAAGTTTAGGAACTTCTGGCCTATTCCCAGCCCAAGGCTTGGCAGGCTTCTCTGGCAAGATGTCATCCAGAGTGGTACAAGAGAGGAGAAAGAAACAGAAACGTCCACCCTCTGTTAGGGGTCTCCACTATCATCACTGAAGAGATTAGCAGAGTACTTGAGTCAAACACACATGGAGTCAGATCTTGGCTTGTCCCCTTACTAGTCATGTGACCTTGAGCAAGTCAAGTGAACCCCCTAAGCCTTAACAGTAAGTTGGTAAAAAGAAAACTTACTACTCTGTGGTTTGAGGATTCACTGGTACTGTGATTACCCACCTCCCTTCCCAGGAAGTGAATTTTTCAGCTGCCAGAACTGTGAGGCTGTGGCTGGGTGCTCATCAGGGCTGGACTCCTTAGCTCCTGGGGATGAGGACAAGCCATACAAGTGTCAGCTCTGCCGGTCTGCCTTCCGCTACAAGGGCAACCTGGCCAGTCACCGCACAGTGCATACAGGTAAGGGAGGAGAGGGCCCTGGCTTTATGCCCACAGGTGTCCTAGGGCCAAGCGCCTGACCTCCCTTCCTCCCTGCTTCCAGGGGAAAAGCCCTACCACTGCTCCATCTGCGGAGCCCGCTTTAACCGGCCGGCTAACCTGAAAACGCATAGTCGCATCCATTCGGGAGAGAAACCCTACAAATGTGAGACGTGCGGCTCGCGCTTTGTTCAGGTACGGAGCCACTCCCACCCGGCCTAAAGACCAATTTGCCAAGAGGACGGAGGCGGCCCTGTAGGGAGGATCTGTCCCTCCCAGAGGCGCACTCTGAAGTCCCCTCCTCTCCCAGGTAGCTCATCTGCGTGCTCATGTGCTGATCCACACCGGGGAGAAGCCCTATCCCTGTCCCACCTGCGGGACTCGCTTCCGCCACCTACAGACCCTGAAGAGCCATGTTCGCATCCACACCGGAGAGAAGCCTTACCACGTGAGTACCCGACCTGGCCCGGCCCAAAGCCTTAGAACGACCTCCCGTTTACCCCGGGGCCGGGCTCTGAGAGGAGTGACCCCGGCCGTCCTTAGCTGTCTGCGAAGTGGGAGGTGTCCTGAAAAAGTCTGCGTGAGTTAGGGGCAGGGGCCTGGGTAGGAACGCGCAGGCACAGAAGGTAGGCTCTTGGCTGGGTGCCATCCTGGAGAAGAGCCACGGGAGGGCTAAACGTCTGCCTAAGAGGGCGGGACCTGCCTCCTTGGCCTGCCCTCGAGGATTTGGGAGGACGGAAGGACCACGGAGCTTCTCCGGGGTTGAGCTGGATGGTTCGCCCTCACTCAACACCTAAAAGGTGGTTGTGGAAGGGGCGGGACCTGACTGGGCTGTCCTCCCACAGTGCGACCCCTGTGGCCTGCATTTCCGGCACAAGAGTCAACTGCGGCTGCATCTGCGCCAGAAACACGGAGCTACTACCAACACCAAAGTGCACTACCACATTCTGGGGGGACCCTAGCTGAGTGCTGGCCCAGACCCCACTCGCTTCCTGGAAGCCGGGAATGCTGCGGGCTGGCGCCTGGCTTTCTGGTCAGGTTTGGGCATGGGGGTGTGCAAGGCCCCTCCAGGGCAGAATTTGCCACCATCTTAAATTCTTACTGGGTAGAGCAGGGGTGGCAGATCTCGGCTTGATCTGCTTCTGTTTTGCTGGCCAAAACCTCTTCCCACAATCAAAATTGTTACTGAGGAGAGAGCAAGCTGGGAGCTGGAGGAGGGGAGAGGCTGGAGGCCTCCTTCTCTTAAGGGGATAGCCCTCCACCTGCAGCCCCCATCTCGTTTGGTTTATCTGTAAATATAATTTATTGAGGGCCTTCATTCTATTGCATTTCCCACTTCTTTCTTCCAGAAGTGTGACCAAAAGTGACCTGAAACAGAATGTGAGGTCATAGCTCTGCTGGCAGAGATTAGCACTTGGCTGTCTCCTTTGGCTCGAGTGTTTTATATTATTATTGTCATATCTTTTATCTTTAGAATTGTTCTTTTTCCTATTTGTTTGCTTGTTGGTTTGTTTAAAATGGAGAAAGAGATTCTCTGTGTCCTGCCCCTCCAATTCTAGGTCTGGAACCTTTAAGCTAGGGCAGCTCTGGGAACATGTGAGTTTGTGGAATTGGGTCAGGAACCATCTCTGGTATTCTGGATATTTTAGGTTCTCTAGCAGGCTAGAACTGGATATAGACTTTTCTCTGTTCTTCAGGGGTTATAGGAGCCTTTATGGTGAGCCTGAAATGGAGGTAATACATGCCTCCTGGAGGCTGTGGGGTCTGAGGGCTTTGAACGGGACTGGAGGGGTGATTGGTGAGACTTTCTCTTATGCCCCTAACTGTCCCATTAGTCTGGTCACCTGGGTTTGGCTCTGCCTTGTCTATCTGTCATGATAGAGTCCACCCAGGGATTTCAGTTGAGCCCATAATCCTCTCACTAGGTCCTGTTCCTGGCACTAAATTGATCCTTCCATGGGGGAGATAGCTGAAATTCCTTATCAGATATAATGCACCCTTTTCTGTTTCCACCCAGTCTCTGAGATTGTTATGACCTAGGGGAGAATTACAAAACTCATCTTGACTGATTGGTAAAGAGTTATGACTCGGTCCTTAACTGCAAAGGCATCTAGGTTTGAATGTTCATTGGGGTTCTCTCTACCTGAGAGGAACTCCTCTTTCTTCTAGTGGGTTTTTGGACATCTTCTGGCAAGTGTCCAGATTCCAGAAACTTCTTTGCCTCTGGAAGTCACTGTTAACTTTCTTCCCTTAGAAAAGCTGGGTCTGTGACCTGGTGTTCCCATCACTGCATTCCTATCCGGAACCAGTGAATGCACTAGAAACTTCCACAGGGAGAGAAAAAGGGCTGAGTTCCATTCTGGATTTGCTGTAGTTTGGATTTTGATTGGAATTACCGGTGGGATTAGGGGTTTAAAAGATTTGAAGGACTGATTGATTGACTGGACCTTCTAGTTGACCAAGTAACCAGGTAGGATTAAAAGGTTGGCTGAGGGGCACAGTCTCTGGTGTAGGCCAAGTAAGTAGAAAGTTAAGAATGGGGTTGCCTCTTAACTTGGTGGAATGTCTGGAATGTTAGATGATACTCTGAAGCTTTGATTTACAGTCCTCCTATTGCCCTGGGGTGTGATTATGGAGCATGGGGTGGAGGGTAAGAAGCACTTTGAATTTATGGAGTAGAACTTCCTCAGCATAGGTCAGTACTAGCGGCTGTCACTTGGGGACTAGTGAAAAGCTACTCTTCTCCCTCTTTTCCTCTTCCTACTGCAGAATTAAAGGAGGGAGGGAAAAGGGAAAGGAGATGTGAAAAGGAACCGTGATTTTTTTTTTTTTTTTAGCAGATTGAATGGGCAGGTGGAGAGTGCCTAGGGGTGGAGATGTTAGATCTTGCAAGATCAGAATCATGGAATAAAGAAGCCTCTCTGTGCTGCCTGCTGTGTTGTGTCCTGGGTTCTTGCCTGGGAGATCTGGGGACTGGGTGAGCTGGGGAAAGAGGGTCCTTCCCTCCTGGATACCATCTGGGGTTCTGTGCCCATTTCACTGTCCTATCCCAACAGACATCTTAAATGGGCCTTGTTCTCCCCTTCCTTGCCCTTGCCTTCCGGCTCATTGTGTAGGAACCAGTGACTTCATGAAGTTTCTCCGGAGCCACCTGCATCCTGCTGCTCTGAAGTCACATCCTGCCTGGGGTGTGGAAGCAGCAGGGAGAAACCAGGAAACCACTAATAATACCAAGAGGCTGGGGGATGCATCTGTGCTGGGGATCTTAATGCTTGGAACACCCCCTATCCCCCCCACCACCAAGGAAAATGGATAGACTTGGGTCCCACAAAGACAATAGGGCTGGAGGTGACAGTGAGAAGGCTGTGTGATCAGAGCCAACATGCCACCTCCACGCCTCCCCCAGCAGCGGTGTCTTGGAATTTATCCATTGCCCAGTGCATGCTTCTCTCCCGCCCTTTCTCTTGTCCTGTGTGTGTCCTGGGTGCACATCTCTATTCTGCCCCATGGGTACAGAGTCACTAATTCTGGTAAGTTACCTCCCTTTTGGACTTAAATTCCTCATCTGTGAAATAAGTCCATTAACATAGTCTCTGCAGTTCCCTCCAACATTTACAGTTTGTGGTTGTTTCTCAATCTTTAAAAACCCATGACCTGAATGAGATTCTTTTTTTTTTAAGCAAAAAACCAGACATTAAACTAAAACCTCCCTTCTCCCTCCTACTATGCTTATCCGCTAATGAAATGAAACCAGCTAATAATATCTCCTGCTACCTGTCAGGCCCTAAATTAAGCTTTTCAGAGCATAGATTTTCTAATTCAACTCCCCTGACAACCCTAAAAAGTAGGTGGTAGTATTATCTCCAGTTTACAGATAGGGAAACCATCTGAGAGGTTCACTATCTTGGCCAAATTAATAAGTGATGAAAGCAAGACTGGCAGTATAACTTGATTCTAAAGACTGAACAAGTAACCACTACGTTACACAGCCACACCAATTTCTACACGTTTGGCACACACCTTGCCAGCCAAAGTGACTCCACTTAACATAAAAAGATTTGAGGAGTTTGATTATTTTTATCTCCCATATAAAAGATAAGGTTCCACATGCTTATGTAAATTACACAGCCTCTCTCACCACCTCACCTGGACTTGTCTGGGTATGGACCCTTGAGCCCAAGTTTCAAGGTCAGGGTCCTGGAAGCTTGAATTACAGGAAGAAACAGGAAGCCAAGCCATTAGCGCTATATAAGATGGAGGAACTGGGTTCTGGTTGGGTAGGAGGGGCTGAATGCTCCAGTGGTCATGGCTTGTCTTTTTAGTCTGTTCCATCATGAGATCAGAAAATGTGGTTAGGGAATGGTAGTTACTAGAGGGCAGAGGAAAAGGTTTCCCTACTCCACTGAAGAAGGGGCAGGGGGTTCCCTGAATGAGCTCACAGCTGCCCTTCCTCTCGCCGGTATTTTTGGTCTCTGTGACCTGTAGTTTTCCTGTTAGCGGGAACAGAAATGTCAGAAAGGAGTTCCCATTACAGAAATGAAGGCCAGGAGTCCAACAGCCCACACTCCCTTTGTCTCTTCCCTTAGCCCTTTGAACCCCGCAGGGATCCAGGCATCTAGATTATAGCGGCCACAGGCGCTTGGCCGGGTAATTTGGTTTGAGTCTCATTTTGTAATTCATCTCGCCCCCTCCGGTCCTTGCAACTCCTGGGCCCTTCATTAAGCAAGTGTTGTTTTCCTCTCCTGAACCACTTTATCCACTACCAACTCCTCTGGACTCCCCACGCGAGGATCATGACGCTGATACCTGGACAAACTAGTCGGCTAAGCGGACAAGAAACGGAAAACACCTACAGCTAGGGCCCTGCGTCTCGTGCGGCTAATCTAGTCGGCCTCTTTACGCATGCGTCCCACTCACTACCAAAATCCAGAGCAAAGCTCTAAATCCCGCCCTGTTCTTCTAGCTCCACCCCCTGTTCAGCCGTCCCGTGTCCTCATTGGCGAGCTATGGGCTAGGATGGCCAGGTGCTGCCACTTGCAAAGATAAAATAGATAATCCACGAGAAGCCTAGCGCGCCTCAGGGGTGGGGCTCAAACTCAGTACCTCCCCCTGGCTCCTACACCGAACGTTGGCTCCGCCCCGGACCTGTACAGCCGAGGCCTAGATTCTCTACTCGCTGCCAGCGGAGCCACACCTCCGGACGCCAATCGCCGGGGCCAGCAAGGAACTGCTCTCCCCACCTATATCGACCGTTCGGGGAAAGGCGCAGGCGCCTCACGCAGCCTCTCTGCAGCTTTCAAGCCCTGGTGGGTACTCTGTCTACCAGCCTCTCCTCCCCCGCGTGGCTTCAAGCCATCCGGCTGGGTGGGTGGGTGGAGGTGGAGCGTCCTGAGCCCTTCTCCCGAAGGGGCTTTTAGTGACGGCAGCCTTGTTACCTCCCAGATGGCGCGTAGGGCAGAGCCCCCCGACGGGGGCTGGGGATGGATGGTGGTGCTCTCAGCCTTCTTCCAGTCGGCGCTGGTGTTCGGGGTGCTCCGCTCCTTCGGGGTCTTCTTTCTGGAGTTCGTGGCGGCGTTTGAAGAGCAAGCAGCACGCGTCTCCTGGATCGCCTCTATAGGAATCGCGGTGCAGCAATTTGGGAGTGAGTGCCGCGCCCAGGTCCCGCGTCCTGAGACCCTCGGAAGGGAGAGGGGATGCGGGAGACGGACGCCTGAGATCTCACAGAACCCTTCCCCTTACCCAGGCCCAGTGGGCAGTGCCCTGAGCACGAAGTTCGGGCCCAGGCCCGTGGTGATGGCTGGGGGCATCTTGGCTGCGTTGGGAATGCTGCTTGCCTCCTTTGCTACCTCCTTGACCCACCTATACCTGAGTATTGGGCTGCTCTCAGGTGAGACCCTGGGCAAAGGCCAAAGAGTCAGATGCCTGAGTTTTTGGCCTCAGGACTTCACCTTCTTCCAGTTCCTTCCAAAAGGCTTAGGTAGACTGAGAGAAAGTTTTAGCTGGTACCCATGCCTGAAAGGGAATTCTTAAAAGGGATGATGACCACGTTGACACACATGATAGGTACATTAGGAAATTCAAAGATGATGAATCCTGGATATGCAGAGCCAGGGCTAGTGGGACTGCAGTGTAAGAGGAAGAATTACTATAAAGTTGAGCCAGTGCTATGGCTATGAAAAAGATAACATTATCCTATTTACAGCTGAAGAAAGGCTTTAGAAGCTTATGCAAATGACAGTCGATGTGGCCAGAAATGGTAGCACCTAGGTATAACTCCAAAGTTCTGTGCTAGTTACTTTACAAACATTATCACTAAGCCTCCACAGCCCAAAAAGGTATTACCCCCATTTTTCAGATGTGGAGATTGAGGCAGGCTGCATAAGTGAAATACCCAAGGTTGTAACAGATAGAAAGTATCAAACTTAAGATTGTAACCGAAGCCTGTGCTACTTTCTGCTGCCAGGCAGTGTGGAATTACTGGCTGCCCTGAGCTCCCTAAGAGTCCCCCGACCACCATTTTTTTTCTTTTTAACAGGCTCTGGCTGGGCCTTGACCTTCACTCCAACCCTGGCCTGCTTGTCCCGTTACTTCTCTCGCCGGCGATCCCTGGCCACTGGTCTGGCACTGACTGGTGTGGGCCTCTCCTCCTTTGCCTTTGCTCCACTCTTCCAATGGCTGCTCAGCCAGTATGCCTGGCGGGGAGCCCTGCTGCTGGTGTCTGCCCTCTCCCTCCACTTGGTGGCCTGTGGTGCTCTCCTCCGCCCCCTCTTCCTGACTGAGGACCCTGCTATAGGTGGCGTTGGGGCCCAGCTTGTCTCCCTCCTCCATCACAGCCCTTTCCTCTGTTATGCTGTTGCTCTCACCCTGATCAACACTGGCTACTTCATTCCCTATGTGCACCTGGTGGCCCATCTCCAGGACCTGGGTTGGGACCCACTGCCTGCTGCCTTCCTACTCTCAGTGGTGGCTATTTCTGACCTCGTGGGGCGTGTAGCTTCTGGGTGGCTAGGAGATGTAGTTCCAGGGCCTGTGGCCCGACTCCTGATGCTCTGGACTACCCTGAGTGGGGTGGCACTGATCCTGTTCCCTGTGGCTCAGGCTCCCACAGCTTTGGTGGCTCTGGCTGTGGCCTATGGCTTCACATCAGGGGCCCTGACCCCAGTAGCCTTCTCCGTGCTGCCTGAACTTGTGGGGACTGGAAGGATATACTGTGGCCTGGGACTGTTGCAGATGGTAGAGAGCATTGGAGGGCTGCTGGGGGCTCCTTTGTCAGGTAAGGAGAATGGGATTTCCAGGTGGGCAAGGGCTGCCATACAATGGTGGAGAGGGGACTCCTCACATAATAGTATATATGAGCATGGCTCTTTGGCATGGTACAGTACACTGTATCTGCATAGCCCCAAAGCAGGTCCATACAGCAAAGAAAGACTAAGAGAAGCTAGGTGGAACCCTTGGCAGGGTACCTACAGCTTGGGTTTTCAGAGGACCTGGCTGGACTTGGCCAGCCAGATAAAGCATGCCAGTGTCTAACCTTTTCCTTGGTCCACTGGGCCCCAGCCCAAGTGTCTGAGCCATTTGGTCAAAGTTCTCCAGGCTCCAGATGCCAGAACCTTCAGACCTTTAACATTTTCCTCTTAACTATTAACTGAAGGTCTAGAAAGGAGGGCCACAGTTGCCAGAAAGAAAGGTACAGATGTGTCTGAATTAATCTGGGTCCCCAAATCCCCACTGGCTGATTTGGAGGTCCTTTCTGAAGACAGAAAGATGGTCAGAATTACCTTCTGAAGCCCTTTGGAAACCAGAGTTCTTAAGCTCATCCAGTCCTCCTTGGGAGTTCTAACTCTTCCAAGATGACAGATTAAGGATTATTCTTTTCCCTCCACCCAAAAATGTGTCTGAGCCATCAGTCCCACTATAAAGATCACCCAGGTGTATTCTTTTCCTCTCTTGAACCTAGGCTACCTCCGGGATGTGACAGGCAACTATACTGCTTCTTTCGTGGTGGCCGGGGCCTTCCTGCTGGCAGGAAGTGGAGTTCTGGTCACTCTGCCCTACTTGTGCTTCTCAGCTTCTACGTCCAAGCCTCACGATCTTGTGACAGAGGCACTGGATACCAAAGTCCCCCTGCCCAAAGAAGGGCTGGAAGAGGACTGAGATCCAAAAAAGGGGCTCTCAGATGCAGAAAGCCAAATGTTGACAGCTCCAGGTCTTCTCCTCTTGCCCCATCTTGGCTCCGACAGAATCACAGTGCCTTAAGCATCTGGATCTGCCTCCCCCAGAGCAGGCTGGAGCTCCTGCAATGTGTGGGCCAAACTTATGTGTTTTTTGAGGACTCTTGTCTCTTCTTTGCTTCCATAACGTTTTCTGAGGGATCCAGGCGTTCAGCATGCCCTGCTGAGCTCTGAGTCAACAGTGAAAATCAAAGGCCGAGAGACTTACCATGTTTCACGTGTGATCTCCTGGGTTGCCTACTAAGTTTCTTCTCTGAAGACATGTTTGGCAAAGAGGGATGCGCCTTTGAGATAAAACTGAGTAAGAGAACTGGATAATAATCAGAACTTCAAAAAGGGCTGGAGCCCATGTGCTTGGATTGGCTGAATGGGATCATGTCTGAGGAGTGGAGCAAGTGTCCAGGAGCTTTGATGACCCAAAACATTTTAACCCTGGAGTCTTCTCTCTGGACCACAGTTTTTCCCACCTGTGCACAGACCTCCCTCTTTCCCACTATCCCCTGTGACTTAGAAAAGAAATTAAGAGAATGGGGTGGGGGGCAGGGTAGTGTGGGAGCGGGAGCTAAAGCTGAGAGAGCTGAAGTGTGGGTCTAGAATTCTTGTATTTCCCTCAGGCTTGTAGGAGGAGATTGAAAGAGTTATCTGGGAGGTCTGGGTACTGGGAGTGAAGCAAATGATCCTGGGGGAAAAGGCACCCAGGAGACCCCCTTCCAAACAGACTGCAGGAAACAGGCAGACGACTCTTTGAAGAGTCCCTGTGATAACCTGATAACCGGCAACAACTTGGGCAAAGAGAAATGGCCTAGCTGAACAGACAGACACCTTTCTTCTCCCCCAGGGCCTAGTGGGATTCTGTTCCTTTCAACCAGCCTTTTTGGATGTCTTAAATAGCATGTTTTCAGCATCCTAGATTGGCTAACAGTGGGAGCTTGCAGGGAAAATCAGACAGAAATTCTTTATTGGGGAGAGGCTCGAACAAGAAAATAGTCAACAAGTGGTGTCCAGACTGGAGTGAGGGCCTCCGGAGGGGAGCAAGGCAACCTGAGGAACTGGAAGCAGCTCCCCCATCTCAGGTGGAGGGGTGGCTGGAGGTGAGGCTGGCCGGCAGGATGGCAGTGCCCGGGGCAGCCCCATGTAGATGAAGCTGCCCAAGAGGATGAAAGAGCCGCACATGAGGAAAGAGGCGGTGAAGTCTCCTGTCTCATCCCTTAGGAACCCTAAGAGGAAGGGACAAGGAATTTAGAGCCCTCAAACCCTAGGGGCAGAGGATGGTTGCAAGTGAATCTGCAGGCTTAGGCCTTACCTGACAGGGGAGGGCCCAGAAGCCCCCCGAGGCTCATCAGCATCATCACCAGCCCTGTGGCCTGTACAACACCTCCGATGCCCACTAGCCCTGGGAGCACACCGAAAACCAGTGGGGCGTAACTTCCTGCGCTCAGCCCATAGGCTCCAGCCGCGGCCAGCAGGGCCCCCTCCCAGCCCTCCTCACTCCCCACTATGGGCACCAGTCCCACTGCCAGCAGCCCCAACCCGGTCAGAGCCGCGAATACCATCAGCAGCCGCGGGAGGGGCGCCCAGCCCTGGTCTGCCAGCCACCCGCAGACCAGCCGGGCGCCCGCATCCCCCACTGCAGCCACTGCCACCACCAGCGCAGCCCCATACCCACCCAGGCCCCGGTCTAAAGCGTGAGGGGCCAAGTGCACGTAGGGGACGAAGTACCCGCCCCCCACTAGGGCGGTCCCCAGAGCAAAAACTAAGAAGGCCCGGCGTTTGAAGAGATCCAGGCCGAGGGCAGCTAGGGGCCCGCGGGGTGGGGAAGGGGTGTCTCCAGGGAGCGCCAGGGGTCGCAGCAGGGCACCACAGGGGGTGAGGTGGAGGGTAATGGCGCCAAGGAGAAGCAGGGCGCCCCGCCAGCCGAAAGTATCAAGGAGGAGCTGCAAGGTGGGCGCCAGGAGCAGTGAGGAGGCCCCATTGCCCGTGAGTGCCAGCCCCACCGCCAAGACTCGACGGCGGGAGAAGTAACAGGAGAGGGTCCCGAGGGCAGGGGCAAACACCAAGGCCCAGCCGGAGCCTGCGAATGGATATGACGGGTGAGGACGGGGACCTGGGATGCCTACCCCAGCAATCCCAGCCCTGCTCCTTGCAGGAGGCCCCCGCCCCGTTGGCCTCCAGTCATCAAAAATCTCCAGTGTCCACCATCACCCCTAAGGACCCAGGTATCCCTCTCCTCTCACCGGCGAAAACGCCCAAGCCAAGGTAGAGGTGCAGCTGACTGCGGGCGAAAGCGGAGAAGACGAAGCCGAGCGAGGTGAGGACGCCCCCAACCATCACCACAGGGCGCGCTCCCCAGCGGGTGCTCAGGGCACTGCCCACTGGGCCTAGAAGAGGGCAGAGTCAAAGGGAGACACGCCCCTGGGTCGCCAAACTCGCTCCAACACTTCTCATTGGCCGTTTGCCTGGTCTAAAGCTCCTCCTCCAGCCTAATAGGTCCTCCCCTTGACCCCAGGACCCATTCTTTTCTAGAAGTTGGTTCTACCGGTCGCCCTTCAGCTTGCCTGGTAATTAGACGGGTACCCCACGATGACACCCACGGCCCCTCCACCCCCCGTTCCCGCCTCCCACAACGGGGCCCTCCCCTCACTGGCTGCCTGCTGCACGGCCAGGGCCAGAGCGCTGACCCACGCAGTATCCTGAGCGCTTCGGTCAAAATGCTCCGCGAGGTCAGGGAGGACAAGGCCCAGGGAACGTAACAGCCCGTAGGAGAGCCCATTCACCGCGAAGGCTGCGGCTGCCACCACCCAGCCCCAGCCCCCGTCCGGGGGTCCGGCCGGCTTAGGGGTCATCGCCGTCTGGGGGAGGGGGAATACGTGTGAATAAAGTCTCAGAATCTGTGCCTCCTCCACAGACATGGGCATGCCTGTGACCCAGCTTCTGGATGCTTACCCAGGGTGGGCTCGTCACCCTGAGCACGATACGGAGGGGGCGGGGGGAGCGGGAGCTAGGCCTAGGGATAGAATTCCTGGGTCCGCGCGAGGTACCGGGATGGCCAAGTAAGTAGAAAGTTAAGAATGGGGTTGCCTCTTAACTTGGTGGAATGTCTGGAATGTTAGATGATACTCTGAAGCTTTGATTTACAGTCCTCCTATTGCCCTGGGGTGTGATTATGGAGCATGGGGTGGAGGGTAAGAAGCACTTTGAATTTATGGAGTAGAACTTCCTCAGCATAGGTCAGTACTAGCGGCTGTCACTTGGGGACTAGTGAAAAGCTACTCTTCTCCCTCTTTTCCTCTTCCTACTGCAGAATTAAAGGAGGGAGGGAAAAGGGAAAGGAGATGTGAAAAGGAACCGTGATTTTTTTTTTTTTTTTAGCAGATTGAATGGGCAGGTGGAGAGTGCCTAGGGGTGGAGATGTTAGATCTTGCAAGATCAGAATCATGGAATAAAGAAGCCTCTCTGTGCTGCCTGCTGTGTTGTGTCCTGGGTTCTTGCCTGGGAGATCTGGGGACTGGGTGAGCTGGGGAAAGAGGGTCCTTCCCTCCTGGATACCATCTGGGGTTCTGTGCCCATTTCACTGTCCTATCCCAACAGACATCTTAAATGGGCCTTGTTCTCCCCTTCCTTGCCCTTGCCTTCCGGCTCATTGTGTAGGAACCAGTGACTTCATGAAGTTTCTCCGGAGCCACCTGCATCCTGCTGCTCTGAAGTCACATCCTGCCTGGGGTGTGGAAGCAGCAGGGAGAAACCAGGAAACCACTAATAATACCAAGAGGCTGGGGGATGCATCTGTGCTGGGGATCTTAATGCTTGGAACACCCCCTATCCCCCCCACCACCAAGGAAAATGGATAGACTTGGGTCCCACAAAGACAATAGGGCTGGAGGTGACAGTGAGAAGGCTGTGTGATCAGAGCCAACATGCCACCTCCACGCCTCCCCCAGCAGCGGTGTCTTGGAATTTATCCATTGCCCAGTGCATGCTTCTCTCCCGCCCTTTCTCTTGTCCTGTGTGTGTCCTGGGTGCACATCTCTATTCTGCCCCATGGGTACAGAGTCACTAATTCTGGTAAGTTACCTCCCTTTTGGACTTAAATTCCTCATCTGTGAAATAAGTCCATTAACATAGTCTCTGCAGTTCCCTCCAACATTTACAGTTTGTGGTTGTTTCTCAATCTTTAAAAACCCATGACCTGAATGAGATTCTTTTTTTTTTAAGCAAAAAACCAGACATTAAACTAAAACCTCCCTTCTCCCTCCTACTATGCTTATCCGCTAATGAAATGAAACCAGCTAATAATATCTCCTGCTACCTGTCAGGCCCTAAATTAAGCTTTTCAGAGCATAGATTTTCTAATTCAACTCCCCTGACAACCCTAAAAAGTAGGTGGTAGTATTATCTCCAGTTTACAGATAGGGAAACCATCTGAGAGGTTCACTATCTTGGCCAAATTAATAAGTGATGAAAGCAAGACTGGCAGTATAACTTGATTCTAAAGACTGAACAAGTAACCACTACGTTACACAGCCACACCAATTTCTACACGTTTGGCACACACCTTGCCAGCCAAAGTGACTCCACTTAACATAAAAAGATTTGAGGAGTTTGATTATTTTTATCTCCCATATAAAAGATAAGGTTCCACATGCTTATGTAAATTACACAGCCTCTCTCACCACCTCACCTGGACTTGTCTGGGTATGGACCCTTGAGCCCAAGTTTCAAGGTCAGGGTCCTGGAAGCTTGAATTACAGGAAGAAACAGGAAGCCAAGCCATTAGCGCTATATAAGATGGAGGAACTGGGTTCTGGTTGGGTAGGAGGGGCTGAATGCTCCAGTGGTCATGGCTTGTCTTTTTAGTCTGTTCCATCATGAGATCAGAAAATGTGGTTAGGGAATGGTAGTTACTAGAGGGCAGAGGAAAAGGTTTCCCTACTCCACTGAAGAAGGGGCAGGGGGTTCCCTGAATGAGCTCACAGCTGCCCTTCCTCTCGCCGGTATTTTTGGTCTCTGTGACCTGTAGTTTTCCTGTTAGCGGGAACAGAAATGTCAGAAAGGAGTTCCCATTACAGAAATGAAGGCCAGGAGTCCAACAGCCCACACTCCCTTTGTCTCTTCCCTTAGCCCTTTGAACCCCGCAGGGATCCAGGCATCTAGATTATAGCGGCCACAGGCGCTTGGCCGGGTAATTTGGTTTGAGTCTCATTTTGTAATTCATCTCGCCCCCTCCGGTCCTTGCAACTCCTGGGCCCTTCATTAAGCAAGTGTTGTTTTCCTCTCCTGAACCACTTTATCCACTACCAACTCCTCTGGACTCCCCACGCGAGGATCATGACGCTGATACCTGGACAAACTAGTCGGCTAAGCGGACAAGAAACGGAAAACACCTACAGCTAGGGCCCTGCGTCTCGTGCGGCTAATCTAGTCGGCCTCTTTACGCATGCGTCCCACTCACTACCAAAATCCAGAGCAAAGCTCTAAATCCCGCCCTGTTCTTCTAGCTCCACCCCCTGTTCAGCCGTCCCGCGTCCTCATTGGCGAGCTATGGGCTAGGATGGCCAGGTGCTGCCACTTGCAAAGATAAAATAGATAATCCACGAGAAGCCTAGCGCGCCTCAGGGGTGGGGCTCAAACTCAGTACCTCCCCCTGGCTCCTACACCGAACGTTGGCTCCGCCCCGGACCTGTACAGCCGAGGCCTAGATTCTCTACTCGCTGCCAGCGGAGCCACACCTCCGGACGCCAATCGCCGGGGCCAGCAAGGAACTGCTCTCCCCACCTATATCGACCGTTCGGGGAAAGGCGCAGGCGCCTCACGCAGCCTCTCTGCAGCTTTCAAGCCCTGGTGGGTACTCTGTCTACCAGCCTCTCCTCCCCCGCGTGGCTTCAAGCCATCCGGCTGGGTGGGTGGGTGGAGGTGGAGCGTCCTGAGCCCTTCTCCCGAAGGGGCTTTTAGTGACGGCAGCCTTGTTACCTCCCAGATGGCGCGTAGGGCAGAGCCCCCCGACGGGGGCTGGGGATGGATGGTGGTGCTCTCAGCCTTCTTCCAGTCGGCGCTGGTGTTCGGGGTGCTCCGCTCCTTCGGGGTCTTCTTTCTGGAGTTCGTGGCGGCGTTTGAAGAGCAAGCAGCACGCGTCTCCTGGATCGCCTCTATAGGAATCGCGGTGCAGCAATTTGGGAGTGAGTGCCGCGCCCAGGTCCCGCGTCCTGAGACCCTCGGAAGGGAGAGGGGATGCGGGAGACGGACGCCTGAGATCTCACAGAACCCTTCCCCTTACCCAGGCCCAGTGGGCAGTGCCCTGAGCACGAAGTTCGGGCCCAGGCCCGTGGTGATGGCTGGGGGCATCTTGGCTGCGTTGGGAATGCTGCTTGCCTCCTTTGCTACCTCCTTGACCCACCTATACCTGAGTATTGGGCTGCTCTCAGGTGAGACCCTGGGCAAAGGCCAAAGAGTCAGATGCCTGAGTTTTTGGCCTCAGGACTTCACCTTCTTCCAGTTCCTTCCAAAAGGCTTAGGTAGACTGAGAGAAAGTTTTAGCTGGTACCCATGCCTGAAAGGGAATTCTTAAAAGGGATGATGACCACGTTGACACACATGATAGGTACATTAGGAAATTCAAAGATGATGAATCCTGGATATGCAGAGCCAGGG